TTTTTTTTTTTTTTTTTTTTTTTTTTTTTTTTTTCTTATGTATAACATACCATCGCATAGACAGAGAAACCCATAAGGTTGTTGACTGAAAAAAAGAACCTGAGGAAGGGACGCATGAAGAATATCGATGACCGGACCGTTTGCTTGATGGTGTGTGTGATGAATTGACGACAGTTGAAGACTCTTTAAAGGTGTTGAGCTGACGGATTGCGTTGCTCAAGCTGAATCTTTTTTGGATTGATGATGAACGCTATAAATTAACAGCAGGAGAAACTTTCACTTTGCTTTTAAAGCCGTTCTCTTTTTTTTAAAGATGTTTATCAGTTGAAGAGCTAAGCAGTTTTTTTCTTTTCTTTTATATATGTCAAAGTCAGTCCCAAAACAATTTCTACCTAACCCATTAGAAATTGAAAGTAAGACGACGAATCAGGGGCATTATTAATTAATCTCTTACGAAAAATGTTAAACATCAAGTCTCTCTTACGCAAAATGATACCAATTTATTTCCTCATAGTTTCATAGACAACGAAGCTTCGCAACGAAAATTTTACGCGCTCATAAACTCCGAACTTCGAAATGTCAATCAAAGAAATATTCAAAAGTATTAAAAGAAAAAGAAAAAAGAGGATATATGTCGATAGATAGTAATCGTAAGTAATGCAGGTTAAAAATGTTAAATGCAACAAAGTCAAACAAAACCTTGAAATTTGTTTTGCTGATAGTAATAATAAAATTCGCAAAGTCAGTTAAAAACCGAAGAACCAAAGAATAATTAACAAAATGATGTAGTAAGCAATTCGTATTCAGATGTAATTTCATTCATTATTTTTCGTATGTGTTTTACGTACATTTCTCCTCCGTATTATAACTTATTTGAGGAGGAGCTTCTATTGGAAAGATCGTTCTGTTACCACAACAACATACACTACCCACCACCGCAGATTAGGTTGGTTTTCTCATTCCGATTACAACCCGTAAGAAATTCGCATCAAAGGACCGACAAGGTAAATATGTACTTAAATAGCGTGACACATTTTTGCCGACTACTTTCACTGAAATGCAACTTCCACAAAAATTGGAAAATTAAATTAAGACTTAATATGCATGTCCTTTTGTGGCGAAAATCGAATACAAATGCAAATACATGGCGGGTCAAGAATGCAAAAAAAAAAAAAAAAAAAAAAAAATATTTTAACCTGTATCGATGGATAAATCGAGAGGCCTTTAGTTAAAATATGGCGACTTTTACGTACTCGCTTCAAGAGACTTATAGCCAAAATTCGCCCTGATTGCGAATCTTTTTTTTTCTTACTTTTCCTTAAAATTTGTGCAACGATATGTACTTTAAATTGGATTACGTCTATCCTGATCTAACAATATAATATTTAACAACTCAGTCGTTAAGTATCTGCAAGTGCATATGTTATATTTAGATTGAATTATACCATCTTTGAGATGAATTTTGCATTTGTAGACGGAAGGCAACTGAACTACTATTCGATTTGTGTATAATAAAAATGCTTTAACACTCCTCTTATATGACGCAAAAATAGTCATATACGGACGTATCAAGTCTTAGTATAATTTTGCATAAAAATATCTTCTTCACCACCCCAACATCCACCAAATACCTCGAACCTTTTTATGCACTTCCCCTGTGTTCGCAGTATAATTAATTCATTTTCGTATTTGCAATACATTTTACAGAAGCAAGTAAACGAAATGCGTCGAAAATAGCAATTTACAAATTTTCTCTTTCTCTTTCGGTATTCAAAACATTGATAAATTTAATATACATTGGGAATATTATAGCGATGACGTATGGTTAACAACTTTTAAGCAATATACAACATTCCATATATTTGACATTAGTAGAAATGTCGGTACGGAGTCAGTGCAATAAGTAAGCTTAACTAAAAGTTAAAAATTAAATTACCGAACTCGAGAATGGTTTAAATAGTTTTAAGTATATGTAGCTAAACCGAGAATTCCGTTCTAAAATTGCTGTAAACACACACACAGGAGGATATCACTTAAAAAACCTTTATTATCTCTTTTTAAATACATTTTTTAATCACTTTTCTCGATGCAATTCAGTTCTCTATTCAATGATAAAACTTGTAGAGATAAAAAAGAAGATAAACAAATTAGTGATTCGAACAAATAAGAGGGCCTTATGTTCGCTATTATATTAAATATAATAACAGCATGCATCTTTGCATATGCTTTGGTATTATTTTCAATTGGAATATTTTCATTAAAAATCTCAAAGTTCCATGTAATTGTGGAGAAAACGCTCTGAAAACTGTGGATATTAAAAATACCTCAAAAATTATATATATATATGGGCTTGTTACAATATTATGCAATGTAAACGCATTTCGAAATCTTCGTTTCAAGCCTTCTTCTAATACTGTGCGCGAAAGGCAGAGTCAGCTATTATCGTTCTATAAACGTGATATTTGAAATTAGCAAAAATGCTAAACTAACGCCACACAAGTGAAATAGATCGGTGAAGAGCAAAGAAATGTGAAATTACTTTCGCGTTGGGAAGGACAGCGTACACTTTGAGACAGCAATAGCAGCGATTATCAAGGCGACCACAGTGGCGAAAGCTCATTGAAAAATCCTAATTTGTCTGCTAAGTGAACAATGAAAAAGGACTTTCAAAAGTTATTCCAAGGTCAAAACTTAAAGGATAATCGTCGTTGTTGTCGCCGTTGATGTCAAAAACTAACAACTGCAATTGAGGTTTCTTAGGTGTTGGTGGTAACAGTGATTGTGATGTGAGATAGTGACAGTGGTGTTGGTGTTTTTCTTTTTTCTATGATAATGCTGGCTTTCTCCACGATGACAACAACAACTTGTCTGATAGCAATTGTTTTAATGTCATTTGTCTATTGTCAAAAAAAAATAAGTTAAGAACTTTCTATCAAGTTATTGGAAGTGTTAAAAAGTGTCGTTGTTTCAGGATGATCAATAAATGTTGCTGAATGATTTTAGTTGGTTTAGTGTTAATATGGTGCTGGTGGTGGTGTTGGTAGTGGATGTTAAGATTGTAGCAATTATATCTGATATCTAGTTGCTGTTTTTGTTGTTCTTGTTGCTGTTGTTGTTCTTGTTGTTGTTGTTCTTGTAGATGAAGATGATGACTAATAAGCTTTAGAATTCTAAGTAGAAAGATGTTATTAATCAAGTTATTGAAGCAGCAATTGTTGCTAAACGTTGCTGTAGTCTTATGGTTGTTGTTGTTGTTGATGTTGCATATTGAGGTTGTGGTGATGGAGATTGTGGTGGACAAGGTTCTAATATTGTAGTGATACGTGAAGATGTACTTGTAGTAATAGTTGTTGTTGTTGTTGTTGAAGTTGTTGGTTTTGTTGTAGGAAGAGGAAGTTGTAGTAGAAGTACTTGAAGTACGAGTAGAACTAGTAGTAGTAGCAGAAGTTGTCTTTATCCTGCAAAATGAGGAGCGTAAACCACATTTAAAATAATAATAAAACACAAATTAATAACAACTTAATAATTTTTGTTTCTCTAACGCATACTAGAATGAAAAAAAATATATGTGGTGTCCTTTTATTCCTATTTTCTTTAGCTCCCTAGCACAACTCACACATAATTAATCAGAAAATATCAAGAAAAAAAACACAGTGAACACAGTATGAATCGAAAATTTATATGATAAAAAGTTGGGTTAAATAAATGAATTGCTAGTTAACAAACATACATATAAAAATGAGGTATTAAATGTATATACTCGGATGTAAAAATGATCTTCGTTAGCGGAATTTTCATTTAATTCGCTGAAGAAATAAGTGCAAACAAAATTTTTATATCAAAAGATATTCCTTGCATTTGTAGAGCTGCGAGGGCTCAATTACATATCAATTGAATTTATTCCACAAATGTGTTAAGAAAAATATCTCCAAATGTCCGCATATTCCGCCGTTAAATCTACTAATTTAATGAATCTAAATAAAACCTTGGTAGGTAATGCGTCCAATATATTCCGCTTGCGGGCATTTAATAATTTTTTTTTTTTTTTTACATATTACATAAATAAATATTTTATTTACATGGTGTTTATAAAAATAAAACGAAGACCAAACAAAAAATCAAAATTTATGTAGTGTCAATAGAACTTACCTGTAGCGACCGCCACCGCCGCGGCCTCCGCTGCTGGTTTCACCACCGCCTCTACCACCCCCACTGCCGCCTCGGCGTCTATTGTCTCGGCGAGATCGGCCTGAGGACATTTCTACACGTATGCGTGTACCGCAACAGCGCCTAATTTAATGAACAAATGAAGAAATAGTTTATCGATTTTTCGCAAAGTCGTCTGTACAGTCTTCTACAACTTACGTTCCATCTAATCCTCTGGTAGCGTCCTCGGCGTCCCGTCTATCATCAAATTCAACGAAAGCAAAACCAGGAGGATTCCGTGCCACCCAAACATTCCGTAAAGGTCCGTATTTACTAAAAGCATTTTCTATTTCATACTTTGAAGCTGACGAACCCAAATTGCCAACGTATACTTTGCAAGCCAAATCCCATTCACGATAGCGTGGCATGTCTGCTATTTATCTATAAGAAAAAGTAGGAAAAGAGAATCACGGTATACCAGATTGTACAATGCGTTTACTTCATTGCATACGGTAGAGCCTCATTATCACTTTTTTATACAAGATACAAAATGCGTATACAGAAAAGAAAATGGCCGCCCGCTTGTATACGAACAAGGTTTTTTTTTGGATAGAAGTTTTGCATAACACCATAATATATCATTTCAACTATTTAATACTTACGCTAATGTGTTAAAAAGTGTAAAATTTATTTATACAAAAAATTGCTTTTGATATTGTACTTTCTTGCACTATTTCGTTATATTTATAATAACTTTTACAGATCCTACACTTAATACGCCTTTTCACGAGCAAGTCACTTTTCACAATGGCAGATCCGAATTAAACAGTGTTGATAAATAAAAGTTTATCAAGCATATACGAAAGCTTGATATTCTAAGACTTTTTTATTAATAACTTTACAAAACTATCATTCTCTCAAACCGAAATGGAGAAAGCTGGATAGATGGAACAAATATCTTCCCTTGCCTGATAATTTATTAAAATGAAGTACACTTCGTTGAATTTTTTCGAAAGTATAATGAGAGAAATAGGGCAATGCAATTTTTGTGTTACGTAGACTACACTTTAATAACGACGAAAGTTTATTACAATTAGCCTAGAATTTAATGTTGGCTCTGCAAATAGCAGAGAATTTAGCTACTGTTTTGCCTTTCAACAGAGTTTCTTA